GAGACTTTGAAATTGGCTTTATGCGTTAAGATGACATGATTTTATTTCAGAGACTGACTCATAGTTCAGTTTCTAGAAAGATACTTTTCCTCTCTATGCCTGAGATTCTGATTCTATTATGAAAAATAAACTTTATCTGCCTATTAAACACATCCTTTTAAAACCATATTCATATAATTCTATCAACCTAAAGTTGTGGAAACTTTGACACAAATTTACAGTGAGACATAAGCATCATCTTTATGTAAAAGAGAGAAAATAAACTTCACATATTACTAAAGTTCACATAGTACAATAGCAGCAACTATTCAAAAGATATAAGGATAGGCTGTTTTTGAAGAAGGATCACCAAGAAGCAAGGTAGGACCTGTAGGATACATGTTCGGAGGAAGTGCACAGGCCTCTTACCTGAAATTGGGTAGACACAGAAACAAAAAACGATTTCTTCCCTTTATATTAAAAGCCTAGTTATAATCAAAATACTCTAAAGATCTATTAAAAGCCAAGAATTCAAATATTTATTCTGGAATGTTTTGCTTTGTTTTTCAAAACAGTTATGTATCATCCTACTACGATGTAAAGACCCCTGGTTGAGGAGAATTATAAGTTCTTCTTCAACCTACACTTTTCTGAAAAACAGGAAATAAAACCCATCGAACAATTCTAAAAGTTCATATGATTTTCTATTTTGCTTTAGGTTGACCTTGAAGCTTAAATAACAAAAGGAATGGTGACTATATTAGTGAGCTAGAGTGTTCAAATACTTCAAACTAAGTTAGCTTCAGAGATTTACTGATAAGCAGCTTGGGGCTCTAGATCCTTCATTCAAACAGAAGAAATAAAATCAGCATTAAAGTGATTTTAAAACTAATCCCAGCCTGAAGTTACCTTCTTTCAGACCACATTTAAAATACCTAAGCAATAAATATAATAAGACAAGACCTAAAACAGTATTTTAAAGGAAATTTTTTGTTCGAATCTCTGGGTGGACTCTAGATCTTCAATCTATGGCCAAAGTTCTATCTTGCTATGCTAATATCTCAGAAATAGCCTACTCACCTCTCTACTCAGTTAGGAATCTACCCTTGAACTCTAAACGCCCTACTCCAATGCCATGGTTACAGGAAGCAAGTTTTCTAACAATTATACATAACTTTCATATCTGTCCTGTCTCTATACTTGTTATTGTAAGAATTAGGATGGGGATATTGTTTTAAACCTGATTGGAAGTTGCATTTTGAGAATTAACATGGAAGATTTTGTTGTGGAAAGTTCAATATAGTCAAAGGCACTGTGAAATAGCTCATTGGGTAGAACTTGCTCTCCCAGCATTATGAAATGAACACCCTCGTCCTAGCTGCACTAACCCAATTCTTGCTCAACGTGTATTTGCATCCACCTAGTCATGCCTGAGGATCACTCAGAATGGAAAACCTAACGGTCAACTGGTTTATGAAAACTTAAAATGATTAAGGACATGTATATTATGTCATTCTGATCCATGTGTTTCAATGTGCTGCAGGTAGTTATGATTTGAACTGTGGAGAGTGCTTTTTGCTTGATAAAACAACTTCCCGGTGCTTGGTGAAGTTTTCCAAACAGTAGCTACCATGGTCAAAAATAGAAAAATCAGGACTTTGGATTCTATTTATACATACTACTGATTTTGATCTGTTCATTGAGGAGTAAAGGAAAGAAGGTAATCAAATCAGTAGAATGCTTCAGATCATTGACCTACCAACTGGATAGTTGAAGCAGATTTGCCTCTGCCTGCCTGGTCACTTAATTCAGAGTTGAGTGCAAGATGGTGGGAATGTCCCACGCGTCCATTAACCAGTGACAGGCCCTGCTGGATGAGGATGGTTTAAAATTAGTGCTAAAGCCCAAAGAACACCGGTGCAGTCTTTTTCAATCCCATGGTTCTAGTTAACATTTTGTTGATTGGCCAAAGTGGTTGGTAACACAGAAAGAGAAGTGGGAACCTCAACGTGATAAATATTTGCAAAAATGCCTCATTTTAGAGAAGCACAGGCCTGCTCTGAAACATGCATATTCAGAATGTCTTAAGAATGCAACTTTAAAAACATCCAGTAAAAAAGGCTTGAATGGTGGTAGTTTTTATATTGTATTTCCTGTTTACTAAAAAATTATTTCTACAAAATTAAATTTTGAATTCTTTGATGGAGATACCAAAATGATGATAATCGAAACTGTATTACACCCTGTCCCTACTAAAACAGTATCTCCAGAAATGTATTCATCATTTAAACCACTTGTAGTTTCTAAAACATTTGCATTCTTTTTATTTTATGCAATATCATAAACCTTGAAATTATGTTCCTAAAAGTCATTTT